TAATGGTGGGGTTTTTCTCCTTCAAGAAAAAAAATTAGTATTCCTTTGTTTTCAGTGGGATTTCTTAAATTGTTTAATCCTTGAGCATGTTTAGGTTTCTCAAGAAGATGGTTGCATTGCCTCTGCTCAACAGCTTCTTTTCATATCCACAAATATTTTCAGCTCTTTATTACCACTGTGTAGCATTGCACTGTATTTTCATGCCTCCCATATTGCTATAATTATGTTTGGGGAATGGAGATGGATGGTGTGTTGAGTGTGTGATGGGTTTCTCCACAGCCCTCACTCAGGGCTGTTTTCTGTAGTTTGATCAATAGAAGGCAGTTGTACAAACAGTGGTTTTTAATTTCCAATTTCAGTTTCAAGTTTCTCATGAGAATTTCAATGTTTTTCTTAAAATATAGAGAAACTTCATTTGCTCTGCTTGAGACATTTCATGGCATTTGTTTCCATCTCCCTCCTGTGAAACCAAGGCACTGATGCTCCTGGGCCCTCCAATGTGGACACACATGCATCTGCCACCCCGAAGGCTCGGGGAAGCTGCTGCTCCTTCATAAATGTTCCCAAATAAACCTCAAAGGGCAGATGGTGTCACTGAGGTGCAGGCAGGTCTGCAAACTTGGCTGGGGGTGAGGTGAAATGAGTTGTGTGCCCATCCCAACTTGGAGCTGGGCTTGTGAATCAAGCGTGGGAGATGCCCTCAAAGCCGTGGTCTCCAGGGACGTCAGTAAAAGGACCTTTCCCAGTACCAGTGAGGTACTCACCCAGCTGTGCGTGGCCCTGGTGGTGGTTGGGCACATGCTGAGCCCAGTCCTGCAGCACCCACCAGCCTGCTCCTGGCAAAAGCAGATGCTCAACGTGCCCAGTGTGCACTGAGCTGCCAAAGTCTCTGCACATCTGCTTCCTTCCTGCCACAACAGATGGTTGCTACAGCCAGGAAAAGCAGCTGGCAATTGGCATCAGATAGGCTTGGTGGTTGGGAGGAGGAGGATGAAGCAGCAGCAGGGCAAGGGGTTGAACACAGCAATATTTTTTTCGAGGGAGATGCTTCTGCTGCTTCTTTGGATTAGCTTTGTTCCAGACAAGAATAGGACTGATGTATATACTGCAAATATGGAGAGACTGGGGAAGAACTGTGACCACTCACTTCTAATGCTCAGCAAAGGACCACTTTATTCCTCAGTGGATGTGGTGGAGCATTCTGGTGGGCAGGGCAGAGCACCACATAGCCCTCTTCCTGGGGGTCGACAGCTCCCCAGGGACAGGCAGCTGAAGCACAAAGTGCTGCCATGCAGTCGGAAGTGTTGCTATTTCTGCTTTTAGCTGAGCAAACTGCAGTCACACAGAAAATGTGTGCTAGAGCAGAGGGTGAAACCCAGTCACTTGCTCTAACAACTGCTGATGCCGTCCTGGTGCCAGACCTCCTCCTCGCCTCTCAGTCTCAATGAGAGGAAAATGAGGAAGCAGTGCCGTGTGACTGCTCTGGTTTCAGTTCAGCACGGACAGAACTGGCTGTGGCTGCACAGAGCTACAATTGCAGCTAAATATTGCCCATTTTAGCCTTTAGATTTGCCTTAATAATGTCAAAGGGACTACTCGTATGAAGAAGACAGGAGCTTACCTTAAATTTACATTGTTGCTGTGCAGTAGGTTGTATGGAGGTTTTCTCCAGTATATTTTTTTCTTCTACGCTGAAGCAGTGCTGTAGAAGGACTGTATTTGCATGTAACCATATCTCCATCTTATAGCTGTGGGGTCTTTTCAATTGTCTTCTCTGTGTCACTTTGGTTTATGTGCTTTTAATCTGTTTTGCTCATTAGCTCTCAACCTGCAGTTTTCTATCTAAGTCACTTTCTACAGAAAATGTCAGGAGGCTGGGGAGCTCTGCCTCTTACATCATGTTGTGATTTGATAAAAAGGTAGAGTGCACCTTTCTTTAAATGTTGGCTAAGGTTAAAATTTGTGATTCTTTTCTATTTGTTTAAGAACTTATACGAAACTGCTGCTATCAGACAATAACAAGAATCATGAAATTGCTATGAAAGGCATTTCTTTTTTATTGTGAACTTTACACCTCTTCCCTTATTTCGGTAAATGCCCAATAAAAGTGCAATAAATCCAATACTGTAAATGCACATAGAGAGGGTTTGCACTCTGGGCTTTGCAGCTGCCTGGCTTTCCTGCTCCATGCAGTGCCCAGCCTCCTGTGGTGCCAAGGCTGCCTTTTGAGACCCCCACTATGTGCCTGGAAAAACCCATCTTGCCTGCTGCACATGTTGCCCAAGTGCACCCTGCCATGAGCTGCCCACCTGATGCCATGCTCGAGGGAGGGAGGAAAATAACCCCAAAAAACAGGGGTAGCTGATGCCCAGAAGTGTATGGGAAGGGAGTAGGGCAGGGACTGCACCCCTAGTATGGACACGGGAGGAAGGGGGTGCAGGCTGTGCTGCCCTGTCCACAAGGGAAGGGCTGTGAGATGGGGTGTGTGGTACACTGGGGTCAGCCCACTTCATCTTACAGGTAAACATGGAATTTGTGAAAGAAATTAAACTGAGGGGGAAGGAGAACCAAACTTTGTGTCAGCAGCTGCTTGTACTGAAATAGAAAATAGCCTTTAAATTGGAATTTAACAGAGAAACATTAAACTGTATGTTTATGCCTTACTCATTTTCTCCTATAAAACCCAATGCAAATAGCAAAAATGGGAAAGGAAAAAAAACCCCAAACATAAATTAGAGTTGAACCAAGCTGAAAATAACTTTCCTGTAAGACTAAGACTGACTGTAACCCTTCATCTGTGATACCCCCTTCCATGACAGGAAGGATGCGATTGCCCATGCACAGGCAGGGAGATGGTAGGGACCACCTCAGCAATCCCTATTTCTGCTGGAGCCAATTTGTGCAAGAACCTTCCAAACTGGCACAACTACTTCTACCAAAATTTCGTGGGTATAAAGGCAGTGCTCCCTCCAGCCCCAGCTAGAAGAGTAGACTCTGCTGAACAAGATTAATAGGCCAAACTGCAAATTTTAGATCTCGTATGGGAACACCAATGTGACTGCTTGCAGGCTTTCCATGCTGAACTGGGAGCAAGTGTGTTGCAGGGTGGGATTTGCTGGAGAGGTATCCCATATAGCTGTGGACATCCTGTGGCAGAGCTAATGAGAGCACAAGTCCTGCCACAGTGTTTGCCCTTAGGACTAGAGGCTGAGTCCTAGGCTGTTTCTGTTCTGTGATTTTTGTCCCTGGCTTCTTTTCCAGGAAAGTGAAACCTACCCCTTGAGGCAAAAGGTAGAGCCCTCTTCTCTTTCCCATCTTGTCTTGTGTTCTCCACTGCCTCACTAACCCTGATTTACAGCTGTGTACAGAAGAGCAGAACCAGCCTTCCTAGTTGGTCAAACTCATTTTTTTTTAGCTCAGTCCTATATTTGTTTGAATTTTGATCATATTCTCCTTGAGCCGAATGATGATCTACTGCTGCTGACTGAGTCAATGATTACAGCAGCATTGTGGACACCACACTAGAGAAGCAGCAGTATGTGCTGCTGAAAAGGTGGCTGGTACATAGACCCTGTGTGTTAGGCTTTGTTCCCCCATCTAATGGCCTGTTTGGGCTCCAGGATGAAAGTCCTCCTGTGGGCAACTTCATCGTGCCAGAAGAGGAATATACAGCTGTTGTTTCAAGGGATGGATCCAAACTGACCTGCAGCTGGGCAAAAATGTCTTGATAAATTACGCCTCAGTGAATGGTCTCCCTGCCAGGCCATGGAGAGGCAGCAGAAATAAACTGTTCTCCCAGCAACTGCTGCTCAAATCTGGCCACCTGGTCCCAGCCTGTCTCATCCTTTTCTTTCTGTGGTGTTTAGCTCAGCACACCAGCGTTTGCTCAGAAATGCCTTTGGGCAGGGACAGAGCCCATAGCAAGCAGGAAAAATGGAGCTGAGCTCCTCTGAATTTAAGGTTTGCAGGGAAGAGCTGAAGAGGCAAATATGAGCATAGGAGAAAGTGCTTAACATCAAAGGGTTGAAGGGTTGAGGTGAGGAAGTTGAAAAAAACCTAATGTGAAAAGGAGCAAATGTTCCAGGAGGAGACCAGTAGTGTCTGGGAGAAGAAAGGCAGCAGTTGGGAGCAGGTCAAGGCAAGGAAAACTGGTCATGGGGAAGAAGGCATAAGATGCAAATTAACTAAAGAGCAGAGAAAAATGCATATCCCTGTAATAGGTGGACATGAGTGACTGAGGAGGAAGAAAAACTCCTGTGCTTTTGCTGCTGCAACAGGAGGATGGGGCTTCTAGATCTCCCTCTCAAATGATGCCTGGGAGCTGACCACATGCTTCTCCAGGAGCTACTGATTCTAAATATGTGCTGTGGGACACCACAGTGCTGGAAAGACATTAAGTGCTTACAACTGTGATACAAGACAAATAGATACTTATCCCTGTGTAGGAAAGAGAATACTGCTTAAATATTTAATTGTGTTTTGGTTTACAATAGTTTAATGGTGTTAAAGCGTCTAAAACACGCTTACAGAAAAATCAGCATTCGAAAGCTATAAATTATTCTGGTTGATTCCCCCCCCTCCCCTAGATAAAAGTAACCATTTGACAACAGTCTCCCTCAAACAATGTAGCCCATGACAGTCTCATTACAAGATAACATATTCTCTTACATGTCTGAACCAAACTACTGAGAAAGTGATAAGTGATCATTCATAGATGCAGACTGGTAGCTAATAGCATCCTCACTTACCTTCGAAACACTGAGCACAGTTAAAATAAACTCAAGATGTATGCATGCAGAAAACTCAATTGCAGCTGCATCAGAGATGAACCAAAAATGGAAGCATTCAGAATTGCTAGTGTAGAATCCAAATAATGACCCACAGTAGATGTCAGCCTGAGAGGACAACACATGCTCTGTAATCACATTAAAGGGGCTCTGTCTATGTGCTCAGGGCCCACACCCCAGTAAATACATATAATTCTGTCCAAGTAGACCTACCATATAGCTGGGCACTGGATCCAGGTAAGAAAGCTTCTCCCAGTAAGGCGTCAGGAGTGTGTGGTGTTTCCTTTTCTAGACACATCTGGACTTCAGCCCCCATTGTATTACTGCAGAAGTAAGCCAATACATCTACTGGTTAGGAAGAATAAGGTGGAAAGCCAGATGAAGGTGGATGTGTCACTCTGTTTCTTTGCTGAGGCTGTTAGGCTTCCAGTGCCCACTTCAACAAGGAAATATTTTAAAGGTCCATATTTAAAAAGTATTCTAAAAAACCAAACAGGTTAAAAAATGGCCTATTTACACCTTGCAGATTCCTTAGGGTGTCTGGATGCCTCAAGTCACTGACCTTTTGGAAACTTTGAACTTGTCAAGCTTGACCTGTGACTGCCTCTTTGCATGGGACAACTGCCTGTACATGGTGCTGGCGTGTTACATGTGCACAGCCCCAGGTGGCCAGGCAAAACAGGAGAGCTAATACAAGCACTGCAGTGCATGGAAATGGCAAATTTTATGGATAATGCTATATAATGATTTATTAAAACCTGTGATTCTCCAGCAGCTTTTATTGTATCATCATAAACCAACACTCCTGTATAGTAACTTAAGCTGGGTAATTCTCTTGGTTCTTCACTCAGGCCAACAAAACTACATGTAAGGTTGGATCAGGTGGGCTGGTGAGCTGAAAGTGCCATCACTCTAAACCAATCATCAAGAAAGGGGGAAAAGCCACATGGTCAGTGCAGTGTGGGTGTTTTGCAGAGCAAGGGAACCCAGTACAGTAGGGTAAATCCTGCTGTTCACTACATCAGTCAGTGCCAGTGGAGTGTCTCTACTTCAACATCAGTGAAAATAATGGCAGAACTTGTGTCTCTGGGTTTAATGATTAGGGTGGGTAATTTAAAGCTCATTGGTTCCTGCCGCTGCTCTCCTGTTAACTTGCTGTGGTGGGACATTTGGGTTGTAGCTCGACCTCTTTATGCTCCAATTTTCCCTTCAATAGCATGTGAATACTAGCTGTTTTGTTGAGGTGTTGTGATGATCTGTTAATTGAGGGAACATGCCAAATGCATTAAACCCAGTGGAAATGGGCTATGCAGCATTATTAGCATGTGTACAAGTCTACATTTTGGGAAATGTTTAAATTCCACCTCTTAAATATCTTTTGCAAATGGAACTTGCAAAAAAAGCAGGGCAAGCACTGCTAACACAGCTTTGCCACACACTGTCAAGTGCTTATAAATTCTATTTATAGCTACAGTTAAAGATTCAGATATGCAAGTACTCCATTAAAAGACCACATTAATGAGCCCTTAGAGAAAATATCTCACAAAGCCTTTTGAGCTTGTAACTGCTCAGTTGTGCAGGGCTTCTTGCTTGTTAACATTCATAAAATATAAATACTGTACACTAAACACCAGCACTTTGTGGATCACAGTGACTTATCTCACCATCAGCACTGTGAGGTGAGCGGGGAGGCAGGAGCATCGCCCGTGGGGTGGCCGAGCTCTGCTGCAGGCTGTCGGTCTGCACGTGTCACTCACCCGCCGCCTCATCTGGGGGCCTGTCTTTGCAGCGCAAAGCTGAGTGGCAGATTGACTCACAGGTCAGTATCTGTGAGTATAATTTCAGAGAGAACAATCAAACCTATTAGCTGAGAGTGGCAGAGCTGGGCTGTCTTGCAGTCGCAGCTCCAGACTGTGGCAAGTATTTGGAGCAAAATCTAATAGACAAAAATCACAGGAGATTTTTTCCTTTTTCCTTTGACATAAGCTAGCTGATGAGAAGTGTCGTTTGAGAAAGAAAAAGTTGCTATATTTGATTTGTCATTATTTCCCCATTGTCCTTCCCTGCCTCCGATTATACAGTTCCAATTTTCTCTTTCTCACCTCTCACAGAATTCCCTATTTTAGGTTGTGACAGATGCTCTTGCTTAAATGTTTTTGATATATGTTTTATCTGAAATTGTTTCTTCGAGTCTGCATTGCGTAAACAAACATCACTGGAGCCCATTTAAGAATAATTCCCTGTAACCTTTAATTTAACCACATTTCCATCCAACTACAAGCCCCAAAGCACCTGAGCTCTAGATAAGGCCATTTCTGTGTTTATATCTGACTCTCAGCAAGATGAAGAAACTGAGGTCGGGCAAGACCGAGTAACTTCTTGGATGCTATTTGCTGGCACTTGTTACCAACCAATCTATGTCCTTGTTTTTGTGCTTTTGGTCCCGCAGCCTTTCAAACAGAAGGTGCCCTCCTGGAAGTAATAATTCTGCTCATGAAATGAAAAATAAGGACAGCAGGCTTTAAAAAGCTTCAGGGCAGTTTTCAAATGTGTCATTGATTTCAATAGTGCATTAGTAGGCTTGTTAAGCAGGATCTAAAGTGCTTAGCTTTATTTTATGGTGGTGAGTACCTGATTGTTCAAAATATTAGCATCTTACTGTAACAGCAAACTGGAAAGTGCCATAAACTGCCCAGTGCTGAGACTGCTGCACCATTACTGAGTGCCTGATAAAACAGGGGCATTTGCAATCAACTGGCAATGTAGGCAAAGGCAGGGCTGTGGCTCCTCGTTAATTTCCCTTTATCTGTCTTGTTCTGTCTGTTGGCAGAGCATTGCTGTCTGTCACATGTACCGCGTGTGAGCTCCTGCTGAATTCCTCCCCTTGAGCACCATTTCTGCCCATCTGTAGATGAGACTCAGATGTCACCTGTGCCAGAAACCTGGGAGACAGCAGGAAAAGTCCTATGACCCAAGGGGTGGGTTGCTATGCTAGGAGATCTGGGTGTATGTCCCCTGCCCTGGCCTGGGGAGCTGGTCCTATATGCAGCAAGTTGGTGGTCAACAGGGTCAGCACATCAGCCAGTCAGAGGGACATCTCCATGTAAAGCAAATCTTGACTCCACTGACTGTGCTGACTGACCTCCACTAACTAAAAGAGGAGCACGATCTGATCCCTGGTTCCCAGGTTTGTGTTCAAATGTGTGACAAAATCTTATGGTGTGGAACAGCTGTAACAGAACAGATCCAGAGAAATTCAGTCCAGAGCACCTGAACTGCATGCCAGCCCATGTGTTGTCACATAATCCTTTGTGTAGCTGGGGATGACAGAGCCACCAGGAACAGGCTGTACCCTGACTTCAGCATTTTGGTCAGCCAGCACAGCCTGCAGCCCTGACTGACCCCTTGTACCTGCAGGCATAGCTAGGCTGGGCTTCTCCTTGGGGCCATTTTGGCAGAGAACATGCATCTTCAGGGAACAAGCAAGAAAGGAAAGGCTGGGAAATGGTGGAAAGGTGGGGATATATTGGGTTTGTAACCCACCATCATTTTGTATCTGTCTGGGCAGAAATGGTTCTGTGAGTTTTCAGCAGGGGAAGTATGAGGGTCTTCAATTCTTACAGTCTTCCAGGAGCAGCTGGCAATGGAGCTGGGGGCTTGGGGCTTACAGCAGCGACTTCCTCTTACACGTGCTGGGGTTTGTTCATAAGGTTCATCTCCTCATTTTTTGCATCTGTGTAGGAAGCAAATTCCCACCGCTGAGGAATTAAATATTTTAAACCACTACAAAGCAATGGGTCATGTCTGTGTTATCAGAGTCCTGAGGCTGCCTTGCTGGAAGCGATGCTGGCTGCAGGCTGGCCCAGCCTTCAGCTGTGTTAAGTACATATACATCAAGGGTCTGTGTGAAAGGAAATGGGAAAACGAGAGGGAATTATGTGGGCAGGAGGAATGAACAAAATGGTGCTGGTGGAGGCAGGACTTGTGTGTGGGACAAGGGGGCTTGAAGGCATTAAAAAATGGGAAGCTTCTCAGAAGAGCAGCTGGGATTCTGAGAGGAAAAAAAGTAATAGCTTAAAGAATTAAGAGGATATTTTTATTTTCAACTCAATTAGGCACTTAAGTTCATTCACAAATGTGGATCATCACTTCTGTACGCTGGTTTCCCTCTTCATAAAATGTAAATAATAACACTATCTTTACTCATAGAGTGGTGTGAAAACAAGTGCATTCGTATCTGGGAAGCATTTATGTGCTGTATGGGAAGTATAAGCAAAGACTATGAATATATAGTTAAAGCTGTGGGCTGGCATTGAGGCTCTTGGCATCTGCCCAGATAAGCCATGCATCATGCAAAAGAGCTAAGAGAGAAGGATACGAAAACATAGGCCAAACTTAGTGAGTTCTGAAATCAGGAACATGTGACTCCCCAAAATTAGAAGTGCAGAAGCTTTGAACTCTCAGAAAACACTGAGAGGGGAATATGTCTTCTTCAGCAAATGGCAAAAGGCACTGAAGAGGTAGGATACAGGGAGGAAATATCAAAGGTATATTGAAATCAAGAAATCTGTACACCGTTGAGAAATAATTCTGCTTGAAGTAGAGATGACCGCTGTGGTTGACTGGGGAAACGAAAAGAGCAATAAAGGGAGACTAAAATGAGACCTATAAATCAGCAGGGTCAGCTCTGCAGGAGTGGGTAGAAGAGCCAATTGCAAAAGAAGAATGCAAGAAAATTATCAAAAAAAGCTGAGACAGGAAAAGAAGAAAAAAGATGTGAACACGACAAAAGGTTTTATTAATTTGGTATGTGGGAAGGCAAAGGTCAGCTGGGGAGACAGCCATCATCTTCCTGAGCAACAGGGAGGCTACCTTGACAAAAAGGGGGATATTGCCAAGAAAGTGAATTACTACTTGTACCTCAGTATTCAGTAGGGAGAGATGTTAAGTCTGTCACAGTTTCTATGAATTTTCAAGGACAGAAAATAAAAAAAAATATTAACTCTAAAGGCTACCAGGAAATCAAATAATGGACTAAACCCATCTAGATAAAGAACTATTTAAAAAGTGTGTTGTTTACACCCTAGGTTTATTTTAAAAAACAGATGTCAAAGGAATGAAATCATCCAGGAAACTTAAGCTGGCTATGGGAGTGGTACCAGAGAAGTTAAGAGGATACATTGCTGAATCCCAGACTTTAAAGGAGAATAATGGAGGAAGAAGTGTCTATCAACTTCAGGGAGCACTTGAGACAACTGATTATCATTATCAGAAAGGCAAATATAACTGAACACCAATTCTTTTACTTCATTAACTAAAAGAAGAAAAATAGAGGTTAAGAAGAATAAAAGATTAATTTTAGCATCCTCAGATTTCAAGAGTACAGGGGTTCAGTGCTCCATGGGACATCACTGTCTAA